TAACCACGGATAGGAATACTTGATGATAGACTCTAATTCACCTTCTTCTTCTCCGGTGAAGACATATTCCTTAGGTAGATCCTTAGTTAAATCCGCTTCTACTAAGATTTGCGCCTCATCGAAACTCACACAGGCCTCCGTTTTTGGGTGTAGTCGTTTAGGCTTACCAACTGCGCTCGCCAAAAATTCAAGTCCCTTGTCTGTAAACATGGTTGGAGGAACGTTGGTTAGGGTAACCCACAGTGGTATGGACCGCATCGCAGGCTGGGCTTCCTCCGCATACGGGGTCCATTTTGACACTATCATAGGAATATCAGTGATATTCCACATTCCTCTGCTTAGTATCCTATGTCTCATGCCTTCATTTCGAATGCGAAACTTGACCGTTGATTCATTCACTTCAAACACATCAATCAAAGTAGATCTATCCCCCAAACGCCATATTTTGTTTACAATCATGTGGATTTTTCCTATATGTGGAGCCTTTGTGTTTAAGAACTTTCCAATGATGAAATCTTCCCAAAGAGGTTTTGCACCAACAAACACCTCTTTTGGTACAACCACCTTCTGACATCCATCCACCTCAATGACGTCGAACTTTTGTTGAGTGAAGTTACGCTTGGTAGCGACTTGGAGAAAAGACCTTTTACCATTCTGAACTACCCCTGGTTGAATCGAAGAGGAAACCTCATGGTTTGTACTCTCTGGCTTAGTTGATTTGCTTTCCATCGACCTCTCTGATGTAGACCCATCCCCTCTTTTCAAAACCGGAAACGCTTCAGTCTGATTCACTGCAATCGTCGGAGCAGATGATAAGCCTCCCTCCGGCACCGGAACCACTCCTCCACAGCTTGGAGAAGCCGATGACGGCAACATGCTTGCTCAAAACGCCAAAACCCTAGTCGCCTCTTTTTTCTCTTGCCACGTCACCCTATTTTTTTAGGAATTCAGGTATTAAGGGTTTTGTTTCAATAAACTCATGATCCCCAAGACCAATAAACATAAAAACAAAAAGTTTTACTAATACCATAGTAACACCGAGAGGAAACACATATCGTCAACTCATAGTAAATAGCTAGTTGTTACGTTTAAACTCATTGAATTATCTCGAGTTTGGCATGTACAAAAACTGCCCTAGCAAAAGTTCCAAAGATATATCTTAATGTAAAGCCAACCAATATTTTTGAAATACCACACAAACCTATCCTCGAAACCAGTTTAGATATACTTTTTGTCGATGTAAAAAAATTTGATATATCTTTTGTCATATTTTTAACTAGTATGCAAACATATTTACTATTTACTTTGGTAATATTTTTTCTCAAAAATGACTATGATTAAGGCTTCGGAATAATCATCCAGTTTTTAACAAGTCGAGTAAAAATTCGCAAGAACAATTGTTTTAGAAAAAAGTTTGTACTTAAGCCTAGCTGATCCATTTAGTGTGAAAACCGAGGTCTGCATAACAGCCCTAATAAAGCCTCACTCCAATCTATCATATTCCTTAGTTATGTCTGTTTTCACCGCCATAGAGCATTTCTTCTTAGCACCAGATTTCTTCAACAAGTGGAGAATTTCTTCTTTGCGTTATCAATATACATTATCAGAAATTGCTCCATCCAAGACCAAAAGCATATTGGTTCTCAGACACAAGGGCGAGGAGGACATGCTGGAGTCTGCAAGATCTTGGAGATGATTTTGTAATAGACAATGCATAAATCAATAGGCCTATACTCATAGACTTTCTTTGGTCCTTGGACTCTAGGATTCAACTAAATGTGGATTTCATTGATAGCAGTTGACATTACCTCTGAGATGAAAAAACCTTTGAAATCTATACTAAAATTTTAAAGAATTTGAAATATATCTTATATTTTTAATAATTAGATGTTTGTCTTTAATTAATAGTGAACTAAAAATTCACAAAAAAATAATAAATAATTTGATTAGTATATAATTACAAGTTAAATCAAGCCAAAAATTTTAGAAATATATGTGTGTATATATATATATATATATATTTATATACAATATACTTATTTGTAAAGTAATTATGAATATAAATTATATATTTTAAATGTATTTTAAAAAATAATTACCTCAATTTTAAAAAATAATTCAATAGTTCAAAAAAGTTTACAATGTAAAAAATATATCAATTAATCCAAAAATAATTCAACTACTTTGATAGAATTCAATGAAAAAATTAAGTCGACAAAAAAAATAGTCAACAGTTCAAAAGGTCGACTATATAAAAAATAAACCAAGCAGAATATAACACACGATGGGGAACAATGTTAAATCAACGGTTAAAAATATTGATCTTATTAATTAATCAATGTGTAACAAAATAAGTCTACAAAGAAGAAATTAGTAATGAGGAAAAAGTATAAATCAACATACTAAAAAGAATTAGTCAACAATTCAAAAAATTGACTGCATAAAAGATTAATCCACGAAATTATAAATCAACTGTTCTAAAATAAATCGATGAAAAAAATCTAGTCGGCAGAACTGAAATAGAAGTTCACATTTCAATAAACCGACCTTTTTAATAAGTCAACATAGAATGAACTAAATTTACAATGAAAAAATAAGTCGACGGAAAAAAATTAAAAAATCAATTTACAATGCAAAAGTACAAAACTGTGGGACTTAAGTATTAAACCCTGGTTTAGGAGTGTCAATTCTATAACGTTTTACCAACTGTGCTACAAATATTTTACGTATTCTAAAGCATTATAATACACTATATTTGAATATTTAACCTGAGTCGGTCGACCCACCTCTTGCCTTAGTGGTTCCGCCAATGAACTCGCGTAGACCACAACGGTCTAAGAAATTCAAAGCTTCTATAGGTTCGTTTTTTCTCTCTTTTGATTTTGACATTACAATATGATCTCAGTGGCGGACCTACGTATTGTAAAGGTGGTTCAATTGACCCACCATTAATTTTGATCTTTTTTTAAGATTATATAGATTTGTTAATAATGAACCCACTAGATTTTTGTTTTTGATACCCCATTAATTCTGGCCCAATGTTTTTGTTTAATTAGAAAAGTTACAAAATGTCCACAAGAGATAACTATTTAATTTTTACCTATTTAGAAAAGCCCAGTATTAACCAACAAAGCCTAATAACCTAAAACACAATAGACCTAACTAGTTTTCTACGGAACTTGAAAAGTTATTTTCCAAAGCATCATCAATTCATCATCATCGGAGAGAAAAAGAGAACCACAAGTCCACAACAATCAATATATTATTTGTCTCTACTATGAGTAAGTAAATATATAGATTTAGATTTTAATTTCGTTTTGATATTAAAACATGATATAAAAGCTTGAATGGGTTTGATATTAAGTCTTGAACTCCAAGATTTTTACCTTAAAGATCGTGAAATGAAGTACTGGACAAGGTTAATCACATGCAAGAACTTGACTTCAATTTCGTAAGCATTAGAGTCCCATAATTCCTAAAGAAGGTCTCAAATGCAAAATATGTTGCGAGAATCAAATTAGGAAAGATTGAACAAAGAAATCGAATGAATTTTTGTTACGGCCAACTTATCTATTTGTGCTCGCTGGAAAACACCCTTCACGATAGTTTTCTGGTGACATTTTGACTCGAAGAGGTTGAGGGTATGTCAAATAAGTGGATATGAGAAGTTAAAGTGTAATAAAGAAGGAGACGAGGCTTGCAAGCACCTTTTCCAGCAAGGTGTTTGCGCGACGGCCAATGAGGAGAATGAAGTGGGGCGGAGATGGTGGTGTTATAGGAGGTGAAATGCTCAAAAACTTAGAGAAAAGGGATAGGATATGAAGTTAGAGTGAGCAATTATATAACAATGAAAGAAATAAAGGAGCAAATGGTTTTGATGCACGATGATGAACACATTCTCCCCTTGATACCTATACCAACACTTGGCTCTTGCTCCTCTTTGTTGTAACAACACACTTTCTAAGGTGACATAGACAAATCTTTAAGGGTTCTAACCAACCTTTTAACTAAAATGTCAAACCAATTAACAGGGCCGGCGGCCGGCCCGGACCTAAAGCCCATCAAGCAGATACTTTAGACAGCAAATCTTATATGTATTTTTAAAAGGCATTAAATTTACAAAAACGTCGTGTAGTTTAGTGGTATTTGGTATGTTTAAAAGTAGACAGTTGTGGGTTTGATCCTTGGCAACCATAAATTTTAACATTTTTTTTATTTTTATTTGTTGTAAATGAGCATCAAATTTTGTTGGGCTTTAGGTATCATGAACCTTTGGGTCGAACCTGCCAATTAACGTAAAAAGGACTATATATATAGGACTTCGATCATTTTTTTTTGAAAATACAAATTAAACCGCCTATTATAGGTTGATTGATCGTCATCTGTTTTAATTAATATTGCAAAGGAAATATATATTGTAGAATTACATATATTGGCGAAAAAAGAAAAAATTTCCGAAAACTAATTAGTCCCAGAAAAGGGAAACTAAGCCCAAACTTACATAGAAACTAATTAAAAAATAGAAATAAAAAGTGATGCAAACCACAAAACTTTTAACGAAAAATCAAAAGAAACAGGCTTGCCAAAACACTTTTAGCTCCAAAATGAACAAAAACCTACCACAAAGGACACAATAAATCTGTGACTGTAATGCAGCTACTAAAACCTGTTATAGCGAAAACAGGGTACCTCTCAAGTTGATTGAACTTAAATTTTTATCCGACAAGAAATATACGAGACACATAAACCAAAACTAATAATTTTATGAAAACTGCGATTACTGCGACGAAGACGGCTTGTTAGAAATATGGTTTGATTCTAAAGTTAATCAAATTGACAATTCCATTTTAGAATAAAATATTACAAAAAATACTAATATTTTATTTATTAATGTATATAAAGTTTGCAAAAATCTAATGAAAATCATAATTTTTTTGAAGAAGTAAAATTTTGTTTACATACTTGAATTTTCAAAGTTGTATACAAAGTCGTTTTTATTTTTTTTAATTAACGTTTTATTTTTATTTCTCACATTTTTGTTGGCATTACAATAAAAGCTTGCCACGTAAATTCGGAACCAATTTACTGAAATGGGAACAAAAGAGAGATTCAACTTTCTTAATCCGTAAGCCTAATTTTCTCTCCTCTCTTTTACCGGTCATCACCATCACCTCCTGGTGGATCCGCAACAATAACAATGGCGAAATCAAGCGCCGACGATGAAGAGCTCCGGCGAGCTTGTGAGGCGGCGATCGAAGGAACCAAGCAATCGATCGTTATGTCGATACGCGTCGCCAAGAGTCGCGGTGTTTGGGGCAAGTCTGGAAAATTGGGTCGACAAATGGCTAAACCTAGAGTTCTCGCTCTTTCCGGTGATATATCTTTACCTTCTTCTTCTTCTTCTTCTTCTCTCTTTTGATTCTTCAAATTTGATAGCATTTCTGTATTCATTTCACCTTTAATTACTTCGTTCTTCTTCGCGTTGTTTGGCTAGTTCTAAGGATTTGGATTCGGTGTTTATTGCATTAGATCGGAGTTTTATTTCCTGTACAGTTTGAATTATGGCATTACAGTCGCAAAGTTGAAGTCTACGAAAGTTATCGAAGAGAACCTGTTGAAATTCTACTGTTCCTGGCCCTTCCTAGACTCGTGAGAGCTCAATTAGGTTTTCCTGTCAACAAAAAGGATTTTGGTAGTGTCTATTAGGTGAATCAATCTAGTGTACTCGAGGAGAATCTGTGTTGTGTTCTGATTCAAGTGGAAGATATGTTGCCTCTGATCCATGTTTCAAGCTTTCTCGTCCAATTACTTTTTAGGTTCTTAATTGTTGTAATCAACTGAGTATGCTTTTTGTTATTCTGCTTGTTACAGTCAAATCGAAGGGTCAACGGAAGAAAGCGTTTCTTCGAGTGATGAAGTATTCAAGTGGAGGAGTTCTTGAGGTAATCATCATTTTCTTTATCTAAATGAGACACACTTTCATGAGACAATGTGATTTGGAAGAAAATTGATTGATAACAATCAATGCATACCATGGTAGCAGATTTCTCGAAGTTCAGATTGATTGATGATGCTTTATAATTGTTTTGTTCATCCAGCCTGCTAAAATGTATAAACTCAAGCATCTGTCGAAGGTGGAAGTCATAACTAATGACCCAAGTGGATGCACTTTTACCCTGGTAAGATTTTAATGAAGTGGTCAGTACCTAAGATTTCAAGAAGAAATGCATGCTTACTCAAATAATTCGTAGCATGCGGTCTAAGAGATTGTGTAATTGTAAAATACTGTTCAATATTTTCTATGTTCCCTCTGCTTTTGCTGATGCAATATCTTTTAGGGGTTTGATAATCTCAGGAGTCAAAGTGTTGCTCCTCCTCAGTGGACCATGCGCAACACTGATGACAGGTACTGCAATTAGGAACATTAGTGTTAACTCTTACAAGAAGATGATAAGCGATGATACTTTTGTTGAGGTAGTTTTCCTCATTTAATGCATACCTTTCGCTGTCGTGATTGTAGGAACCGACTTTTAGTTTGCATATTGAACATATGCAAAGACGTATTAGGCCGCCTTCCGAAAGTTGTTGGTATAGATATCGTCGAGATGGCCCTTTGGGCTAAGGTGCGGAATATAACTCATTTTGCCTTTATATTTTGGTCTGAAGTCTCTTATCTTCAAAAGAAGCTTTTGTATATACTTGTTATTCTCATTTTCCCTCCTTTCAGATATGCGAGTGCTTTTCATATAATAATGTTATCTGTTTTTTGTTTCTTTGTTTCATACCATTGTTCTAGGATAACACTCCAGTAGTCACTACTCAAAGAAGTACAGAAGATGGGGGGCCTGTTGCTGAAACTGTAACAGAAAGTGACTTGAAAGTTACTGTTGAGAAAGAACTAGTCTCTCAGGCCGAGGAAGAGGATATGGAGGCTCTCTTGGGAACGTATGTCTTTTTTGTTCCTTTCATCATTTGGTTAAATCCTCTTTGTTCACGCATTTGCTTCTTTTATTTGAATGTAATTCAGTATATGTCTTACATAGGAGGACTTCTTTATCTACTTTGTGTTATTGTTATATTGAATGAGGAGAGAAGAGTAAAATTACAGAGGACTCTTTCCGCGTGAATCTTAAGCTTGTGAGACTAGGTTTCTGACTAACTTAGAATTGCTTATATGTTCTGCATACTTAGTGATTCTAGAATCACTTCCTTGCATTTTTCTTCTTGATTGTATTTAGTTTACACTATTGGCATTGTTTCTTTGAGAACTAGCTGGCTGGGGATAAAAGGATAATGGAAGGAGAAATCTTTTCCACTTATTTTGTCAGTTTAATAACTCAACTAATATAACTGACATATACAGTTATGTAATGGGCATTGGTGAAGCTGAGGCATTTTCTGAAAGGCTAAAGCGAGAGCTCCAAGCGCTTGAAGCGGCAAATGTACATGCAATTTTGGAAAGCGAACCATTAGTAGATGAGGTAATTCCTTTTCTGCTAATTATTATTCTTAGGACTGTCGTGGAATTGGACAGTTCATGGGAAGACAGTGTTTAATTTTCTTGCATATATGATCATCTTCATGCTTTTCAGGTTTTGAATGGACTAGAGGCAGCAACAAATATTGTTGATGACATGGATGAATGGTTAGGAATATTCAACGTTAAACTTAGACACATGAGGGAAGACATTGAATCGGTAGGACTCTTGACCTATAAATGATCAATTTTGGTTTGTTTTATTATGAGGACAATGTCACTGCAGTAAGAAATTAGTTGTTGTATGTAGTCAATAAACTCATCTCATAAATATGCATTGCTTTTTTTTTTTTGGCTGGTAATTTCTTTATATTACTTCTGAAATCTGCAAGAGTAAGAGAGAAAGAGAAATTGATTTCAAATATTTTTGTTGCTACCTTCATATGTCAACACATGTTTCTCACTTTTTTATTTTGTGGTTACCAGATAGAAACTCGAAACAACAAGTTAGAGATGCAGTCTGTAAACAATAAAGCTCTTATTGAGGAACTTGATAAAGTTATTGAGAGACTGCGTGTGCCTTCTGAGGTTTGTTTCACTTTATTTTAACCAGATATATAGTTTTTGTGCTTGCTTCTCATCTGTCTAAATGGTTCACTTATAGAAGCGTTGTTGATTTTAGTATGCAGCATCCCTAACAGGAGGCTCATTTGATGAAGCAGACATGCTCCAGAATATTGAGGCTTGCGAGTGGTTAGCCAAAGCTTTAAGGGGTCTTGAAGTGCCCAACTTAGACCCGATCTATGCTAATATGCGAGCTGTATGCCTAATCACTTACATCTTTCTTATTCGCTATCTCTAGTTATTATTCTAATTTTTCAGTAAATCTGCCTGGCTTATTACATTACGTTTTGTGAATAGAAAAATACATAATAATTGTCTGATACATTCATTAAAAATGTCTATTTTTTTTTGTAATACTCTTGCTGGATTTTCTTCAGGTAAAGGAGAAACGAGCAGAACTAGAAAAATTAAAAGCTACTTTTGTGAGGAGAGCTTCAGACTTCTTGAGAAACTACTTTGCTAGTCTGGTAGATTTCATGGTCAGCGACAAAAGCTACTTTTCTCAGGTACTACTTTTATAAAATTCTATCGTTCCAATATGAAGTCTAGTGATTATAATTCTGAATAGTTATCACCACATCTTTTAAACAGAGAGGGCAGCTGAAGAGGCCTGACCATGCTGATTTGCGGTACAAATGCAGAACATATGCTCGTCTTTTGCAACATTTAAAGGTAAAACCGAGAAATAACTAGGTGACATGCTAAAAGCTCAATGCATTACATTGATTCCTTGTCTCCTTTCTTGTTGCAGGGTCTTGATAAGAATTGTTTGGGACCATTGAGAAAAGCATACTGCAGCTCCCTGAACTTGCTCCTTCGTCGAGAGGTGAGGACAAATATATCTTTCTTTATCAATTTGACCTGACTAACTGGAACACTTAATTGACTAAAAGGCTGCTAAAACCTACGGAATGATAATGTATGGAAATTCAGCAAACATTTTATTTTCTTCCTTTAGAGCGTTAAATATTCAGTTACCAAAGATTTGTTTCTTCAAAATATACAGGCTCGTGAATTCGCGAATGAGCTTCGTGCAAGCACAAAAGTATCACGAAATCCTACTGTCTGGCTAGAAGGATCTACGGGTTCTAGTCAGAATGCAAACACTGACACCTCTGCAGTGTCAGATGCTTATGCCAAAATGCTAACAATATTCATCCCGCTTCTTGTAGATGAGGTAATTGTTAACCGAATGATTTTCTGTTTGGTCTTTAGATGCAACTGATATATGTACTAAATCCTCATGTTTCTTTTTTGCTTCATACTACAGAGTTCCTTTTTTGCGCACTTTATGTGCTTTGAGGTACCAGCTCTTGCTCCTCCTGGAGGTGCTGGCAATGATAAGAAAAGCCAGTCCAACAATGACGATGGTAATGATGATGATGATCTGGGGATCATGGACATTGATGAAACTGACAAGAAAACTGGTAATCTTAAACTGCTTGCCATCAGTAAAGCTTTCGCTACATCCTCATATTCAAATGGTTCTGAAGCAAACAATTTTCCAATCATGCAGGTAAAAACTCCCCAGACCTGACGGCATTGAATGAATCTCTACAAGATTTACTTGATGGTATTCAGGTAAGACGTCCCTCAGTATAATGTTTCTATGTTAAAATCTAGAGTTAGCGTTCATTTATCTTACTAAATAAGAGATTTGTGTTCTTGTCACTGCAGGAGGATTTCTATGCTGTTGTTGACTGGGCATATAAAATAGATCCCCTACGGTGTATATCAATGCATGGTATAACTGAACGTTATCTATCTGGTCAGAAAGCTGATGCTGCAGGATTTGTTCGCCTTTTGCTCGGAGATCTGGAGTCGAGAGTTTCTATGCAATTCAGCCGTGTAGTCCGTCTACTCAGAGATTGTTTTGTTTTTGTTCCTGGCATACCATTCCTACTAATCAATTCAAGTTGACTTCTTTAACTGCAGTTTGTGGATGAAGCTTGTCACCAAATTGAAAGAAATGAACGTAATGTTAGACAGATGGGTGTCTTGCCATATATTCCAAGGTAATCAGGAACTCCCTATTGTTCAAAACAGTAAATTGCCTCGTGAATACATATTTTTTTCCTCACCGGATAGTATTTCCGTCCACCTTGTAAACAATTTCAATCAATTTTTTGGTTCAGATGGACTAAGTGATCAAAGAAAGCTATCCTAACACTATTACCTCATTTTCATAGATTTGCAGCACTTGCTACTCGTATGGAACAGTACATACAAGGGCAATCTAGAGATTTGGTTGATCAGGCATACACAAAATTTGTGAGTACTGCTATTCCTATGAGTTTATAGCATTTGACCAGTAAAATTACACAAACCATGCAAGCAAAGAATAATGTTTGCCATGTCAAGCAGAACAGGCAACCAACCTCTGCATCTGATCTTAGTTTACTTACAATGTATAAACCCACCTTTAGTTTAGTTCATTCTCGGCTTGAACAACAACAACAACATATAAATAAAGCATATCTCAGATATTCGCTTTAGCTGACAGAGTCTGACTCATAATGTTATATAGGTAAGCATAATGTTCGTGACCCTCGAAAAAATTGCCCAGCAAGATCCAAAATATGCAGATATTCTCCTTTTAGAAAACTATGCTGCTTTTCAAAATAGGTAGGTCCTTTTCTAACCCTCTGTCTCTTGGTTTATCTTCTTTTTCCCGACTACTCATATTCCCTAACATTGTACTTTTTTTTGTGTGCAGCCTGTATGACCTGGCTAATGTTGTACCCACATTAGCCAAGTTCTATCACCAGGCAAGTGAAGCATATGAACAAGCTTGTACGCGCCACATTAGCATGATAATTTACTACGTAAGTGGTGCTTCCCATTTGCAGCTAATAGCATAACACCCGTTTTTGTTTACTTCATGCGTTCTTTCGTCCCTGCAGCAATTCGAAAGGCTTTTCCAGTTTGCTAAAAAGATTGAGGATCTCATGTATACTATCACCCCTGAAGAGGTTAGTTGTTAACTAGTTGCACCATAGTTTCACTTTCTCACCGTGTAAACTATGTGTTGGCGTGTTTACTTAAAGTTTCTAGGGGGACAAAAACCTGATACATTTTTTCTATATTTCAGATACCATTCCAGCTTGGTTTGTCGAAAATGGAACTTCGGAAGATGTTAAAATCAAGCTTGTCAGGGGTAAAAAAATGTTCATTATGAGTGTATTAATTGTTCACAGGCCTGCTAACATATAGCTTCCCACTTCTTCTCTTTGTGTTTAGGTGGACAAATCGATTGCAGCAATGTATAAAAAGTTGCAGAAGAATTTAGCATCGGAGGAGTTGCTACCATCGTTGTGGGATAAATGCAAGGTACCAAAATATAAACTGAATTTATTAAAAAGTCGTTGATTAAAGTGTGAAAATGTGCGCTCAATGTTTTGAATAAATGTGTTATTGTGTGAACTTAAACAGAAAGAGTTTCTGGACAAGTACGAGAGCTTCGTGCAGCTCGTAGCCAAAGTATACCCGAGTGAAAACGTTCCTGGAGTAACTGAAATGAGGGGACTTTTGGCTTCCATGTAAAAAAAAACAAGTGATAGAACCAAAACTGAAGGCAGTTGTTATATATCGCCCTTTGTTACGACGTTCTTGGTCATTTCACATTTCACGGATACAAGTCATGTTACAAGTACTGTATGAGCACTATTAATTCTTTCTTTCTTTCCATTTTTCCAGTTTTATTTGTTGTAATGTTAAAGCCTGCACTAATCTAAAATGATTGTTTTCATTCAATACACGAAAAACTAGGTGTATACCCAATGTTTGGAGTAATGCGTTTAGTGTATTGATTTTGGAGTAATGATGTTCCAACTACTCCCTCCGTCTCACAAAGATAAATTTTTTAGAAAAAAAATTTGTCTCACAAAAGATAAAAGTTTTATGTTTCCAATGTCAAATTTAAACCTATTTTACTCTTATTAAACAACAATAAATAATATACTCTTTAAAATATATTAAAAGGTTAAAAGATTAAAATTGTCATTAACATTATTTCTTAAAGAATATGAAAGTTCTAAAAAATCTATATTTGTGAATATATATTTTTTTTGCTCTCGACTTTAAATTCGTTTGCATTTTAGTGGTTGAATATACGATTTTAATTAGTGCATCTACCTTTTGTTTTTTTCTTTTTAAAAACACAAATTGCATCTACTATGTCCAAAAATTTGCAACTCACAAAACCTAGAATTGGAAGAGGTTGTACGATTAGGACTTGAGCTCTTACTCTTTGACTCTTTGTAGCTGAATCGATGTTATTGTTGGGTGACATTCATACTATGTTATGTTTATGATATAGTTTATGGAGGGAGATGCAAATAAGGACGTGATTAATGAAAGTCACGTACGTGGTGGATAGGCTGCTTCGTGTTATGCATTATGTGTACACAAAAGATATCATACCGAAGAATGGACTATATCAGAATGATGGCAACAATTCGGTCCAATGGGGATTTATCACGACGGCTAGGGAGAATTTTGCTACTGGATTTAGAGATCTTGATCGTCGTTGTCTTCTTTCTTAGAACAGGAGGAACATGTGGCCAAGATTTTACGTGTATAATATTGAAGAAGGGGTGAAGAAGGTAGAGGAGAAGTTGGGTGTGTGAAAGCTGTTTCAGAGACGAACGGGTATGCGAGGGATGTGATGGAGTATATATTTGCTCTCACCATCTCCCTCTTCTTGCTCTCTCGACCCCTCTCACTTGTAGTCTCGATCGTTCTTCCTCTTTCTCATTTCTTTCACTCTCCGTTTTAAGGTTTCGGAGTCGGAGTAGTGGTGTAGTGGTGGCTCCTGCGTTTGACGTGGAAACAAAAAATGTATCTTAAAAAAAAAAAAAGTTTGGTAGAGTAGTCTAATTAGGGATTTTATTGCCAAATCTGAACTAATGTAATTATTGGACCAAACAAATATTTTTTTTGAGATGAGGCACTTTCAAAGTGTAATATACTTTTAAGATGCTTTAGGGCCTGAGTAGATTCATGGCAAACAAGAGTTTATGTTTATTGCTTTTCATGTTTTTGTTATGTGACAAACTCTAATTGAAGCCTTCTTTAGAGCATGTGCAATGCAAGTCTCTCACCATAGTTTTTCAACTATAAAAGTAATAATAAAATAAAAAATAATAATATTTAATTATATGAGTCTCTAAAAAAAGTGGAGAGAATCTCTCAAAGTCTCTCCTATGAGAGACGCTCTCAACTTTTTGGAGTGATTCACATAATTAAATATTATTATTTTTTATTTTATTATTATTTTTGTATGTAAGAGACTTTGGTAAGAGACTTGCATTGCACATGCTCTTCTATTAGTGTCTTCAATTTGTTTATATACCTTGAGGGGGAAAAAACATGTAATTAGAGGAAAAGAAAATATATATATATTTTTTTTCTTTTTTAAAAGTTATTGTTTTCTCGTTATGGAATCTTTTCGTTAAGAGTTTCTGTTGTTATATATATTCACAGAGGTGGGAGAGAATCGGTAGTCACAGAAGCATATAGAAAGAGTTTTTGAAAGTTAACGTAACGTATTTACTACGTTAACGTTGTTTTTCTTTTTGAATAAAATGTAAAATTTATTCGAAAAAAACTTTTTTACATCAAGTGCAGCGTTTGTTTTAGCGGTTTTTGATTACATAGGTCAGAAAAAAAACAAAAAAAGACTTTGTTATCTTGATCCAAACCAAATGGCCATACAACCGTCATACCTCCTATCTCCTTGTTCTCGAATGGAGGAGATTATGTTCCGGATTTGCTTGTCAAGACCCCGGAGTAGATGAGCTGAAGGAGTGGGTGTTTCTCCATGTCGTCGACTGTTCCGTTCTTTCCAAACAGAGTGTACCGTGAGCTGAAAGGTGTATCGTATAAGGAACAAGCACTCGTTCCCAAGAGACTTGTCTGTGAGGAGCTTTATGACTGTATCCCAGTTTGTGGTGAAGTGTTGTGGGAGGAGCTTACGAGTAAGTCCTGACCACACCTCCTTCGTGTAATGACATGTGAAGAACAGGTGGCTGCGTGTTTCCAAGGGTTCACGATAGAAGATGCATGAGGGATCAACCCCTATATTCCAACATAACATTCTATCTCCCGTGGTTAAACGATTCTTTATCGCAAGCCAAGCTAGAAATGAGTATTTTGGCGTGGCGTGTGAAAAATTAATTCTGGACCCTCACAAAGACGTGAGAAACTATCAACTGCAACAACAAGCTTCGGTTACGGTTGATAGTTGCGGATAGGTGGTGGATGTTGCGGTTGATAGTTCTCAAGCTGATTCCGGACCCTCACAAAGACGTGAGAAACTTAATTATGGAAAGAATCAAGAGGTATCATGATTCAGATGATGAATACAATGCCACACCGTTTCAAGCTGCTGGTGGAAAGATTGTTCAAGAAAAGTTGAAAGATCCTGGATCTTTCACTCTGTCATGCTCCATTAGGCATTTAGCTTTCAGCAATTGTCTATGTGATCTAGGAGCTTCAGTCAGCTTAATGCCGCTTTCTGTGGCAAGGAAGCTAGGATTCGTTCAGTATAGCATTGTGACCTGACCTTGATTCTTGCTGATAGGAGTTAAAGGAGACCTGTTGGCCTGTTAGAGGATCTGCCTGTAATGATCAATGAAGTAGAAGTGCCTACTGACTTTGTTGTGCTTGAGATGGATGAAGAATCTAAGGATCCTCTGATTTTAGGAAGACCTTTCTCGGCTTCAGTAGGAGTGATGATAGATGTTAGAAATGGGAAGATCGATCTCAACCTTGGGAGGTATATCAAGTTGCAATTGGACATCAACAACACTCCGAGAAGATCAACAATAGAGGGAAAAACTTTTGAGATTCAGAGAACAGTTCCAAGAGAAGGATTTGAGATTGTAAGAGTAAAGGAATCCGATTGGCTAGAGCTCAAAAGAAGGTCTGACGTCCAAGAGAGAACCATACAGAAGCTAGCCTGCACTGTCGAAGAGCTTAGAAGCACTCTAAGTCGAATTCAAGGAGGAGTTTAACCTCAGCCCAACCGCGACATTACTTCAAGAGAGAAAGTCATTTCGGAATCGTCAGAAGAAAAAGATTATCCACCAGAAGATGAAGCAGCCTACTTTGAGGAAAGAAGGATTGAGTACTCAGCTGTGGAATTATCAAGAGATGATGTTGAGTACGATGATAACCTCAGTGAGGAAGAGGAATTTTTAAGTCCTTTCTGTTATACTTTCCCTGCGTAATAAGTGTGAAGAGTCAAGCTAGAGACTTAAAACAAGCTCACTTGGGAGGAAGTCCCACGTCTATCCTGTACATATCTTTTATTTTTCCTTGTTATTTTTGATGCATTTTGTTAGTGTTTTCATGAGATGAGTGTAAAGAGCTGAGTGAAGTGGATTCTGTCTCTAAGTGTAAAGTATACTCGACCACATCCTACAATGAGCACAAGAAGTTGTGATCGAGTATAATTGGGGTCTCAGTCTCAAGATTTCTGAAGTTTCAACATTTCACTCTATCACGCAAGGTCACATGCTGATGAAGAGCTGTGGTCAAGTATAGGAGTCGACGTTAGCCCAAAAATTTCTAAAAATTCAACATTATACTCGACCAACAGAAGCTACAGAGACTTACAGAGGCTTGGATGAGCTTACAGAAGGTTGCAGGAGATTCTGGGATCTTTCCAGGAAATAGTACTTATAGAGACAAACGCATGGCCCACCACCCATAGTGCTTCCACGCGTTTTTAAAGTCAAGATAAGGAAATCTCCAACTCTTGTTCTCCACACACCTTTCCCATCCCAAAACCGACCCTATCTCCTTCCTTTCATTTACTCGACCTCCATCACTCACCTTCATCGTATTTCTCGCCCTCAATTACACACCACACACTCTCGTTCCTTTCGCGAACGAAACATCACCTCCATCAGTCGACCATCTTCTCGCCATCACTTCCATAGCTTTTACTTGACCACCATACGAAGCAACTCTGAAATTGACCTCACAACCTAGCTCCGCCACCTTCGATTTCACTCGACCACAGAGAGGAAGACAAGAAGCACTCGATCGCAGCTTATTTTCGACAACACCGAGAGGAAGAAGCAGCCGTGCTCATCTCCATCACCGTCTTCACCGCTCTCGCAATTAACCAAACACCACTCGACCTCTTCTTGCTTTTGCCTTCTCACATGCCGTCAATTTTGTCATCTCCTATCATCCATCTCTCCACTCGATTTCAACCAAGCAACCTCCACGCCGTTAACTTCTCTTCACCACTCTCGCACCACTCGACCACCGACCGCTTCTTGACCATGGTCAACATCTTGTCTTCCTCTCCACCGCTTGCAAACGCTGATTTCACTTTCGCCACCGTTTTCTCGCATTTGCCGGATTCACTCGACCACACCATCCTTGTATTCACTTGACCACCACGAACCGGAGAAGCCACCACGCATCACTCGACCACGAAAGAGTAAAAGCACTCGACTTCACCACTGCTCCCCTGTCTACCGATTTCAGTCGACCACCTCAGAGCAGAGAAGCGGAGCCATTCACTCGACCGCAAGCCCGATACTCGACCACGGTTCACAAATTCACTCGACCGGTTTGCTCTAAAACATCATACCAAAACTGGTTTATTTGATTTAAAACAAAACTGGTTATTTCAGAAAACTTGTTGGAACTAACGTATTAACATTTAGCTTTGAGTTTCATCTCTTTTCAGGATTCGTCATGAGTAACGCCACTGGAGGACCGTCTATATCTGTAGATGAGGA